ATCCAACTGATATTGAAAAAACACGCAATACTTTATTGTAAACTAAAACAAAAATCCGTATGTACAACAAAATCAGTGATAGGCAAATATTTTTCTGACTTCAGAATCAACTATCGAGTGTCACATGTATAGAACACAACAAAATAAAATAGATCGAACAAAACTATTCTATTCGAACTTTCTATTTATATATGTGGACTATGTGGAACGTCATCAAAATACTTTAAGGTGAAAACTTTTTTGTGAACAGATTTTTCTTTTGTTTTGTTTTATATAAATGTCCATCAACAAGCTCTCTTTAATAGTTCTTTTTATAAGGTGTGATTTAACTGCAAGAATTTCTGAATTCCAGTTAGTACGTATGATGACACGTGTCCAAACAATGGACAGCTATCTTAGAAAATCCTGTGCCATAAAAGACATTTTGGTGTTCTTCTTTTCTTATTGTTACTTGTCTGACTATTAGGAATCTCAATTCAAAAGATCAATGTATAATGATAAAAAGAAATTTATTCGAGATATTAATCACAAATTAAACTGATCTAATCTGTATACTTCTTATTTTCCATTTTGATTAGCACAACACACTTTCTAAATAAAAACTTTAGTGCAATTGCTGCTGAAACATTCTTAACTTGGTTTAACATAATTAAGAGTTTATTAAGAATAAACAGAATAATTATTAAAACACGAATTTTCGATCTATTTATACGGTCATTATCAAGTGAATATATCTTTTCACTCTATTTCTTTGTCAATTTTTCTCGAATTTTGAATATAGATGGCGTGACTTTATTTTTCCCTCTTTAAGCAAGCCTTTATGCGAAATGTTTTTTCTCTCTCATAGAGCTGATCAAACACCGTTGGAATACACATATAATAGTACGGAACGATCTGTACCATTAAGGATTGGAGAGATTGTCCTAATGACTCACGATTCTTTCACTAATAGTTTATAACGATGATTCTCTCGTAATATTATATAATATAATATATAATACGATTTCAAAGTCATATTTGTGATAACGTGACCTGTAGTTGAATAATATTTGCCTATCACTGATTTTGTTGTACATACGGATTTTTGTTTTAGTTTACAATAAAGTATTGCGTGTTTTTTCAATATCAGTTGGATCAAGTTGTTCCGTAGTTGACGGTAGGCTATCCGTTTGAGAACGAGTAATTGGGAGTCGTTGGCCTATTTTTATTGAGACACAACTATTCTTTGTAGATGTTTTATCTCTACGCTTTGTAATTTTACAACTCGACATGCTTTTCAAAAGTGCGCAGTCAGTCGAAACACTGAGTAAAATAGTGGAACCTGAAGTCGTTGCTTTTGGTTGTGAATTTTCGATGGCTTTTGCTGATCCTCCAGATGTTTATCCATTCTTGTACAAAAGTGCCTATACGTCTTTCCAATATAAAATTCACCACAAGCAGAGCATGTGGCTTTATAGACAAAATCAGACAGAAAGACCGTAGGAATTTTATCTATGTGCGGAAGCATTTGCCGAGTTTCTCAGTATCATATACCACTATTACCCCTTTAGAGGGTAGTTTTTCTGTACACCTGCTGAGATTCTATTACCATATGTGGTAATGAGTGTTTCAGCTGAAATTGTACTAAAGTTTTTATTTCTATTGTTGCCCTTTAACAGTAACAATGTTATTGGACACACTTTCTATTTTCTAATATGTTACTCTTATTTACGAAAAAAATAAAAAACATATCTAAATACAAAATTAATATCACAGCATAAGTGACAAGATGATGGAAGAAAAATTTTACTTTTTGAAAATTTTATGCTTCACTAATATTTGTTCAATATTTTCCCAAAATAAACCTTTAAATTGTCCAGCTTTCATTTCAGGCATACTAAGTAAAACAAAATATTCATTATTTGCCTGTATTTTCATATTTGTTAAATCTAAATAAAATCCTATAAATCTATCATGATCAATAGGATTTCTTGTATTATATGCTTTATTAGCAAATACTGTTGCATTATTTAAAGTAGCATTTATAATCCATTGATCATTTGGATTAACGATAAAAATAAATAAAAGCAAACGATGAGGTCCTAACCAAGAAGCATCATTCAATTCTTCATCGATCCAGTTAACGGAATATTCATTACGTCGATTGTTCAATTGATCTACTACTTGTTCACTTATCATTAAAGTAGCCTGAAAAGAACTGCCTATAAAAGCAGATACAGGAACAGGTCCTACACGTGTTGATCGAGGTAAATATTGTCCGAAAAACAAAATTTGATCTTGTAAAATGATCGTTTCATTTTGAGAATAAAATTTTTTTGATTGACCGTTTATCAAAATCATTTGGATTTGTTCAACTGACTGCATTGACAGCATAATAATAACTACTGAATATTTTGTCATTATTCCTGCTTCACCACAAATACTCCATTGATTGCTAAAGTGTCTTGCTTTACTAAAAATATATCACCACTAGTACCAACAACAATTGGTTTCTCAAGAAATTGAATAAAAGAAAGTTGATAAATCGTTGCACTTTGTCCATCAAGAATTAGTTCTAATATTTCATTATATTCAATAAATTGAGAATGTTTATTTTCTGGATATATTTCACTTAATAGCCAGTAACCTTGTTCAGACGGACCGACTATATTTAATGTGCCATCGAGTTTAAAATTTAAATTATTTTGAAAATAATTTGGATTAAATAGAAATAAATAACCATCATAACCATTTGTTTTCATCAATGACCAACCGTCACAGTCTGTTGTGGCATATGATGTGAATGGAATTGAATTTCTAATTTCTTCCAAATTATCATTTATCCATTTCAACCATTTTATCCAAAATTCTAAAAAATTTGCAGGAAAACGATTAAATTCTTCTAAATCTCTTGCTGGTAAAATTGTATGAATAATGGCTAATCCTGTAGTGACTGGCTATATTTGACAGTAATGCATAAGAAAATCCCATTAAATCAAAGTCTCGAATATTATTATCTTCCCAAGGGATACTTCCATTTGGATACCATCTTTCAGTTTGATGACCAAGCAAAACCAGGTATATTTTCCATAGATGCAAAATGATCAATTCGTAATTCCCAATTTCCTAATCTCATAAAATCAGCTGCTATTTTATCAGTATGTAATGATGGAAAAAGAATGGGATAGGTTTCTGGATTTTCATCAGAAAGTATTAGCGATATATAACCATTTAAATTGAGCTATGACCATGGACCATCAAATTGTGATGAATAACGATGACCTTGAATTAAATTAGGATATATTAAAATTAATTGTTGACGAATTTTTTGCCAACCACGCCATTAAGAATAGTCACTATCTGCAGAATCATAAAAGAGATTATAATCCCAAGAAAAGCCTCCCGTATCTAAGTGAGAAAAAAAAATCAATATTTCACTTCTTAATCATAAAATTCAAATGACGATTAAAAAGAATAAGGAAAATAATTTACAATTAGCCATTCTGTTCTTGACAAAAATAAACAGAGACAATACCTGTTGCTACAACAAAATCGACAAGTAATTTTAAAAAATATTCTTGAAATTGTACACTTGCTAATGATGAACAATAGGGTCCACAATGATCACTTGGAAATAACCAATTTTCATCACCTTCCGCTCGATATCCAAGTGGAGAATAGACATAACTAATCAATTTGACATTTTTCATAGCTGCATAATCTAACATATATTGAATAGTTGAACGAATTAGATCAATAGTTGGATACCATTTTCCTTCTCGTATTTTTTCACTCAATGTTAACCATAGAATAGATTCTCAACCCCAATCACCTGTCGTAGAAAAACGAGATGATACATTTGAATTTGATGGTCCAAATGTGATTCTTGTTATACCCAATTGTACACATCGATCAATTAACCATTGATATTCAGAAATTCCATGTTGTTTACTTATATCAATTTGATAATCGTTACTATCCCATCCACCAGCATATTTCAAAGAATGATTTCGAACAGGTACGGGAATAAAAAATGAAGTGGCATTAACAAATGCTTGTCGTTCATTATAATTGATATTTGGTGTATGCCAATAGTCAGATAGAATATAAGTACCAATGATCAATCCTTCACCCAAATATCGTGTACCATAAACATTAATTGTTGACAAATCAATATTATATTGACTTTTAATAATTTTATTTTGATTAGAAATAGTGTAGAGAGAAAATGGATGTTGCCAAGCAACAAAAATGCATGCAGATGAACTACGTAAGAAAACAGTATGTTGTCGAGATGTATCTTGATGATTAACTATAATTAATATAGAATTAATGATAGTTTCAAGATTAAATGTTGTAGATAATGAAGTAAGTATATCATTGTTAACGTTGGTGGTATTGATTAAACAAAATTGTTATTCTGATTTAAGAGTATAAATTGTTGATAATTGATAGTTTGTATTGTTACATGAGTAGATAAATGTAAGAGAATCTGGAAATAATAAATAATCTAGTAAATGTTGACAGATTAAAGGAATATTATTGATCAATAGTGTAGTGTATTCATTTTTAATATTGATGGGCGATAATCAAGCTCTATGCGAAAGAGAAGTAATTGAACCCGTTATTTGATCAAAACAAATATTTAAATAATAATTTGATAATTGTAGAGGAGAATCATGAAGATTGTAAAGCATAAAAATGAATGACATTAGAAAAACAAAACCTAGACATAAATTTATGAGTAGTATTCGAACTATTGTTAGTAGTTCCAGTAACATGACTGATTAACACACACCTAAATATATTCCATTTTCGACACCAAACTGTCTCGCAGCATAATTACAAGAAGCTATTTCAGTACGAGAATAAAACTGATCAGTCTGAAATAGAAGAAAAATAATAAAAAGATTCTAATTGTTAACCAAAGTTTCCCGTTGTCGTTGAAGTAGATGGTCGAATTCTTTTGGAATTGTGATAGCAATGAGTTGATCTGGAAAAAAAAGAGCATTTAGTGAATGGTGAAGGAACAACAAATTTCTATTTCTATCTCTTTTGTGCTAAATAATATTTCGCTATTGGCATTCAGACTATTGATCTTTGTTAGATGAGCATAAGAAAAGAT